AGTCCGCACGGCGTAAGATTCGAGAACGTGTACGTGTACTCGAAATCGCTGCAACAGCCGAAATATCGATACCTGGCGAATCTGCTAGCTCCTATCGAAGAAATTAGCTATTTTACGTTCTCCAATAACAGCTCATTCCACCGAGCGAGGCGCTTCCTAATTCCATCTTTATCTTTGATGACGTGGCATGCGACAAGCAGGACGCGATAAGAGAGTACTTTGCAATGAGACGGCACGCGGACGTCGATTGCTTCTATCTCTGCCAGACGCATGCAAAGATACCCAAGCACCTTATCTGCGACAATGCAAATCTATTGATCCTATTCAAACAAGATGGTACCAATCTGAAATGCGTGTACAACGATCACGTGAATACCGACATGCCGTACAAGAATTTCTGCGATTTATGTCGTAAATGTTGGCAGCAAAAGTATGGATTTTTAGTAATCGACAAGGACAGTGAGCTTAGCGATGGGCGATACAGAAAAGGATTTAATGACTTTGCAATACCGTGATGCGATCAATTGATATCGATACGTTGACATGGACGACAGCAAAGATCGTGAGAAGGTAGCGAAGATTGCGAAAACGAGTGATTCGATTCGCAAAAAGTACCGCGCTTTGAAGACTGATAAAATGGAGGAGGACATCGCATTGGAGAGACACTTCAAACCTATTATCAACCCGCTGAAACAGATTGTCGAAAACACCGCTGACTCCTCCAAGGATCCTATCATGACCGAAACAATCTTTTCGGGGGAAGACAATGAACCAAAACCCAAAAGGAAACGACCGAGTGCTCTGTACGACAATCCTATACAGGCTTCCACGCCTGTAAAATCAGTGTTGAATCGATCGAAAACCGTACCACCCGCTTTGAACGAATGTCTGAAATACCACATCCACCCGATTTATCGTACGATCATGTTCCCTCCGTCGAAGAAATTTTCGAGGTCACCGATGAACCGCTCGTGACATCTATTCGATACTTGCGTCAAACATCCGAGGGTCAGGAAAAGTTGCAAACAAACTATGGTCCGTTAGGACAGAAATATATGAAAGCGGTCCTGAGCGGTAAGAAAGCCGTCAACATAGACGTTGTGTACGGAGTTTATTTCAACGACGAGGGAACGATGCTCGGTGACAAACGTATCACCTTGCACAAAAATGATGATATAATTATAGATGGGAAAAGATATGATGGAACAGCGGGCCTGTACGAGTTAATTTTCATGAAATTTCCCAACGAAAGTATCTGTACGCATGACGACGTACACACCTACAGAAGCATTCTGCTGACGACAAACGCTCACAGACGCGGTCATAGCCCGAGT